TAAATACACTCTAACTTAAAAGTTACAAATATTTTCCTTAAATGACCTTTTTACTTTGACTTTGACCAGGGACAGACTCCCTGGTAAGCGACCGTGGCTCTGTGGGTAGAGTAGTTGTCTTGTGATCAGAAGGTTGTAGGTTTGAGTCCAGCTTCCTCCCGCATGTTGATGTGCCCCTGGGCTAGAGACTCAACTAAATATTTTAGAACATTTTTAATTACATCTACTAATAAATCTATTGCGTAGCAACAGATTAACAAGTGGTTATAATGTAAATTGTTTATTACTCATTTTTTGTGTCTTTATTGAACTGTTTATAACATTTGTTGGATTCTGTTAGCTGATGTAAAAAAATGTATTCAGAAAGTTAAACAAATGATAAAAAGTTCAAATTAATCCAGAATGAAGAAAAAGGTTTCAGGACTTAAGCAGCTAAATATTTAGTTGGATTTTTTTTTTTTTTTAATGTATTGGACTCTAATCTGATTCCAGCAGCTTTTCTACAAACTGCTGATTTTCATACGGATAAATTATCTTCACGTTCTTGTTTATCTGTTTTTTACTGTGAATTTTTGTCATATTTTCCATCTGCAGCTCTCAGTCATGATGAACATTGGACTCTCCCTGGTGATCGCAGGTCTGGTATTTTCTCCATACTTTCTATTAATATTAACAGACATTAAACTTTCTGCAGATGAATTAAAAACAGATACATTTATTTTACTGTATGATTAAATAAGCTGAGGAAATTATTTTCTGATGCAATATCTGGTTCATTCATTACTTTATTATGCCATTTACTTATCTATTTTTATAATTATTGACACTTGTTGTCCTTCTTATGTTTAGATCTGAGAGTTTTGGACAAAATAACAAGAAACAAAAAACAGCAGGAAAACGGTTCTGTTTAGTTTTTCTACTTCCTGCTGCAAATCTAAAATATACAGATTATTTCAGGTTTTGTCTCATTTGTTAATCTCCATCAGAACCTGATTTCAGTGTTTGTGGGACCCATACGGGTTCTGATCAGGCCTGTCGGTTCCATGAACTCTGCTTGAGTTGACTAAATGCATCAGCTGCATCGGTCTTGCTTCCTTTCTGTGCCTCTAATTCAGTCTTTCTCAAACTGTGGTCCGCGGGCGCCCCCATAGTGGTTCGCGAGGTACTGCATGTAAACGACCGTTTATTTGTCGTGACGTCAGCTCAAATTGCGACGCTACAGCTAGCTTACCAAAGGATTGTGTTAAATATATAATGATGGAAAACTGGCTGAAAACTGGGTTACTGAAAAGAAAAGCTGGTGGAAAGAAAACAACTCCATGACTACTTATATGGTCAGAAGAAGCTAAGTTATAGCTGCTGAGTATTGATGTGTCGTTTTCTAGCGATTAGATTCCTTTGAACGATTAGCCGCAGGAATCATTCCAGTCAGAATGTTCTTTGTATTTTATGACTTCGCTTGGTAATGAATGATGCTCTGCTTTCACATCAACAGCAATTGTTATTTTTATTTAATTAAAAAATATTACATTATATTAATAAACATAATTGCTAGAAATGGGTTAATTATTTTTATATTTAATGGTGCAGGAAAATTATTTTTTATTACAGTTAAAGCAACTTAAGTCTATTTTTCTTTAATTGTGCTTCTAAATCATAAATAGCCCTAAATGTTATTAATTCACACAACACTTAGTAGTAAAGAACAATTTATTATTTTAGTTCCATGTGTTTGTCAACAATAGAAACCTTATATACTGCCAGAATCTGTTAATAACTCAAAATGCCCAAGTAGACCTGTTCATGGCTTTGTTGTGCCCAGTCACATTTACCAAACAGCACCACTTTTCTCATTGGGACAAACAAAGAAAACAACAATAAGTGAGTTAAGAGAGTAATATTTTCATTTCAGGTTGTATTACGATGTGTTATCGCGGGGCAATTTCAGATTAGGTGGTCCGTGAGTGTTTATTAAATGGGTTAAGTGGTCCTTGGCCTGAAAAGTTTGAGAAACACTACGCTGGAGGAACGTGACTGGCGTTTTGACTAAAGTCCAAAGGGTTGGAGTCCCAGTTGACGGCATCTCAACTAAAGTTATACAGCTTTTTATTTCTCTTTCTCACTGTTTACGTTTTAATTATGTTTTTTAAATCTTTCTCATATGCTGTTTTTATTTTAATTATGTAAAGCACTTTGAAATGCCTTGCTGCTGAAATGTGCTATGCAAATAAAATTTGATTGATTTGATTGACTGATTAGGCGTGACGAGTTATATATGTGTGACGTCACTATGGCTTCATTGTGGTTTCGACCTTTCAGACCCACTAGGTGGCGCTGTGGTACTTCAGGACAAAATCTCATTTCAGGAAATGAACATTAACAGATTAGATCTCGTAATTTCTGGATTTTTTTATTGGCCCAGATAGATGAAATGGATTAAATCAACCGGTTTCATGCGTGTAACAAATAATTCACTAGGCTATTCAAAAATAGATAATACATTTTAAAATTTCTGAAGAAGTTCTTTGCATATCAAAGGCTTCCCATGAGGCTGGAGGGTTTTATTTTAAGACGCATCCCAGAATATTAATAGAAAACGTCTTTATAATCTATTTTTGCTCCTGACACTGTGTCCACTTCGTGATTCTCTTAACATGCAATCGCCTGTGCAAAAATAATCGTCCTTTTCAGATTTCTATTGGTTAGAGTCAACTCCACAATACAAAAAAAGAAACTATAAAAATATGTATTAATTAATCTAAATGACCTGATTTTGTTGTAGTATAATAATATTTGAGTATCTGTAATAATTTTCCAAATTAATTTTGGTATATTTGGCATGTACTGAATAACAACCAGCAAAAATAGAGTTATGAAAACCTAAAGAAACTACAACTCAAGATGTCTTCATCTGAATACCAAACGTGATGTACAGCAGTCATAGTAATAATTATGTTTTGATGTTTTCTTCTCCAAAGCTGTTCCAGGCAGCCTGAAGACTGAACATCTTTTATTTGGAAATGGAGAAACTTCCATTAGTATTCAAAATGATGGTCCTGTGCACAGAAACAGAGTTTCAGACCTTTTTCTTTCTTTCTGGATTCTGAAAACAGTCACTTTGAAGGATTAGACACTCTGGATGAATCACTCTTTCAGGCTGCTTAAGGATGTAAACATCATCATGACTTCTTTTTAGCGTGTTTTCAGCTCTGAAAATAACAAATAGGTTTCTCAAGTAGACTGATGTTTGAGACTGGATGTTGAATGTGTAGCATCTCTACAAAGAACATTGGTGCAAAAGTTCTGCAGTTCATTTTAATTCAGCTTTATGAATCTTTATGGACCTAAAATGTGTTGCCATATTTGTTTTAGAGAGGTTTTTGCTTCTCCACCCTTCCAAGCACGCTATACGTGTTTAGTCTTTTCTTATCATTCTGTCATGAACTCTAATGTTTATACATGTTTCTGAGGGCTGCAGATTATGAGGTGCATCTCTTGGGTTTTTGCAATTTTTGTGAACTTAAAAATAATGTGTCTTGGTGTTAAATTTCACTTCCTGGAAGATTACCAACCAGATGTTTTCCACTTGTAACCAGTGGTTCTCTATAAACCAGTGGATGTCATGTAGCCTCAAAAAACCCTTCCCAAGTTGCAGATGTGCAACAATTTCTTTTCTATGTTAAAATATTATGAATGAGGACACAAGTAGAGTCCTCATTTACGGATAGTGGAAGAAGACGGACAGATAAACACCTTTAATAAAGGTCTATAAATGCACAAAAAGAGGCTGCATGAAGAAGAAAAACTCCAAATTTAAACAACAAAATCCAACTGTTGTTGAGTCTGAGAGATAAAACTGCTGCTAGAAAATGGAGAGACCCAAATAAACACCAGGAAAACTAATAAATGAGAGGAAAAGAGAAAAAGAACATGATATTCATTGCTAAGTAACTAGAAATACAAAACAAATCTTACCAAGTATTTTTGGTGTATTTTCTAGTCCAAATATCTTAGTGAACTTTAAATAAAACAAAACTAGCTCACAAGAAACAAATTCAGTAAAAAATATGAGCTTTAAGTCAATAAAACCTTCATATTAATGAAAAAGTACTAGTTCCACTGGTAGATTATTGCACTTATAACCATTTGAAAAATTATGTGACATAATCTGCCAATGGAACTAAAATCACTGTTAAGGAATTTTGACTTAAAACATGTACATATCTTTCTGAAAAGTTACTTGTAAGTTAGTTATGTATTAATTCAAGTGTATAATGTCACAAATAAGCAAAGCTTTGCCCATTACCTAGCAACCCAAGCTGAACTCCAGCAGCTGGTTTTACCACTGTATGCCATGTGCAATGGCTGCTGGAAAAGACAAGTGTTTTGTAGTTGACTTACCCTCCAGACACCACTTTCTGCATTCTTGTTGGTTGTGCAGGAGGCTCTACTAATTATTTTCAAAGATGTACGTTTGTATAATTGCGTATTGTTTCTGCAGCCATTTTCACGTGCGAGTGTAAACGTTGAGTTGTGGGGGTGTGGCCAGCAGCAGCTTATTTGAATTTAAAGCCAGAAATCCTAAAACAGCTCATTCTAGAAGGAACTCACAACAGACTAAAATCTCATTGTCTAAGAATGATTTTGAGTAAAAAATGTAATAAATGCTTTATTTTGAATAGCCCATATTAACCTGTTTATGGTCAACTTTAAGTTAGGCTCTTCAGACTATGGAGTGTCAGCTAATTTATTTCTGCAAGGGACACAACAGCAACAAGCCTGATAAAATTAGCTTTAATTAGTTCTGTTTAAATTTATAAGCCAATGTCTGCAGTGGTAAAACTTGTAGCTGCCTCCCCTGTTCTGCCAGCACTACCATGGCACCTTTGATAGTTGAGGCACAATTGATTTTTAGAACAAAGACTGAACCAGTGAGGATGTAATGGTGAGTGGATGAGAGAGGGAGGGAGAAGTGGAAAGAGGAGGGAGAGAGATGAGGACGAGTAGAAGCATCAGTGGAGGAGGACAGAGCGGACCTGAACGCTGCCACCGTCTCTGAGCGACCGCTGCTTCGTCCAACTCATGGTGAGCTGGATGTTACTAACTACTGTGATTAGCTTGATCATGTATTTATCTTTATATTTAAAATGATATATTTTTAATGCTAGTTTTAGGTAATTATATAATTCCTCTGGATTTAATACAGGTTTTGTGTTTTATTGTTTCTTTTTGCCTGAATTTTGTATGTATTTGGTATAATTAACACCCTTTAGTGGTGATTTGAGTTTAGATTCCATCAACAAAGAAATGTAAGCTACAAAAAAACAATTAAGCTTCACCTCAATGCAGATCTGAGTGACATTTCACCATAAATGCCATCTGAAAGCACTCTGCAAATAAATAGAACAGAACAGAATATACTAGACGTTATTGATCCCCAGGAGAAATTGGTTGAAAAAAGTAAATAAATGTGGTTTTGTAAGTAATTAGATATGAGTAAATATAAGATAAATTAATAAAGTAAAAATAATAACAAGCATGCATAAGAAATGAGTTAATCTATATATGAGTCCAGATAAAATTTAGATTTAAAGACACTCAGAGTTGGGGATTGTACAGTCTGATAGCAGGAATCATTTCTTATTTCAGATAAATCCAATTTACATCCAGATAGTTACTGTGTTTAGCTAAAATCCATCTCATTGCAGTTTAATCCAATCAGATTCAGGATCCAGTGGATGATTAATGCCAGTGACTTTGCATAGATCTCCTCATCGTTTTGTAAAACACATCGTGGTCCCATTCAATGTTCTGCTTCACTCGCCTCCTGTTTCTGCTCAGTTTTAATGCAATAGAGACACATCAGGCTTTGGGGAGGATCTGCTGTCAACAAGCAGTGGCGTCTCCATCACCGCAGCGACAAACACAATTTTAAAGCACTTCACACTTACATTCATTCATTCATTCATTCATTCAGCATCACACTTTAACACGTCTACTTACACCAGAAAAAGGATGATTTGGAGGAAACAGGAAAAATACTTTTCTGACTAGACGTTGTATTTTAGTTTGGTAACATAAACTAAAATACTGTAGTTGTAGAAAAAGCGTTTATAATTTAGGGTGAAATACCAGCAGCTGTGGTTGCCAGAAATTTACCGTATAAATACAAACGTATACAATAAATTTTACTGCATGAAAATTATCAAATTGATTTTACACAGTAAAATGATCAGTTTTACCAAAATACAATCAGTTTATACAAGAAAGTGATCATATTTTATGCAATAAAACCGATCATTGTATATGATAAAAAGATAAATTTTATACAACAATCAATTTAATTGTATAAAAGCACTAAAATAATTGCAGCCCTATAAGAAACTGTAATTTACTCTGATTTTATACATATGATGTAAAAAATAAGGTATTTGGGCCTGGTTACTTTATTTTGGCATTGTTACACACAGAGCTAAATTTGACCTTCACTAAAAATAATGTATTTGAACATGTCAGCTTGTAAATATTTCCAAGAAAATTGAAGAAATGTTAAGAGTGGTAATTGCTGTTTTTTCCTCTATTGATAGTAGACAACATGTTTATATCATGATTCTAGTGTATCTCTATTTAACCCTTCCACTTGGTTTTCTGTGTTGAGGCTCCTCGCCTTTGAATCACCCCTGCTGGACTGAAAAACAAAGATGGAGAACAACACCACCGTTTTCCAGGACGTCGCTCGGCTTGTGAATCTGACTGCGATGCCTCTGAACTCTGTCGAGGAACAAGTCATAACCATACTGTTGACGACGCTCATTTGTGGCGTCGGGATCGCGGGGAACGTCATGGTCGTGCTCGTCGTCCTGCGCACCAAACACATGGTGACGCCAACGAACTGCTACCTGGTCAGCCTGGCCGTCGCTGATCTTATTGTGCTGCTGGCTGCAGGCCTGCCCAACATCTCCGATGTGGTGGCTTTCTGGATTTACGGCTACACAGGGTGCCTGTGCATAACGTACCTTCAGTATCTGGGCATCAACGTGTCGTCCTGCTCCATCACGGCGTTCACCATTGAACGCTACATCGCAATCTGTCACTCCATAAAGGCCCAGTTCATATGCACGGTCTCCAGAGCCAAAAGGATCATAGCTGGGATCTGGATCTTCACTTCCCTCTACTGCACCATGTGGTTCTTCTTGGCAGACACTAAGGAAACCGTTTACACCAACGGGGTGGTTGTTACGTGCGCCTACCGCGTCTCCAGGAGCTTCTACATGCCCATCTACTTCCTGGACTTCACTCTTTTTTATGTGGTCCCCCTGATTGTAGCCACTGTGCTGTACGGGCTCATCGCAAGGATTTTGTTCATGAGTCCTCTGCCTTCACATCTGAGTGACCGAGCAGGAGGAGGGTCGGTTCATCAGGGCCACTCCCACAGCACCAACAAGCCCAACAAGGGAGCCATTACTGCAAGGAAGCAGGTGCTGCAATTGTTTTATGACGATTTGTTTTAGATAAAATTTTGTAACCGGTTAAAAAAATGGACCTGTCCAGGGTGTACCCCGCCTCTCGCCCGGAACGTTAGCTGGAGATAGGCACCAGCACCCCTCCCGACCCCACTGAGGGACAAGGGTGTTCAGAAAATGGATGGATGGATGGATGGATGGTTAAAAAAATGCACATGTTGCATGTTGGGTCTCAGCTGCATCTAAAAAAGCCCAAGCACTTAAAACAAAAACACACAGTAATTTTTAGGCAATAAAGTTATTTTTTGTGTCTGGAAAATTAGCTGTTTCAGAAACCTCCCAATAATCAAGTTATAATCAATGGACACTGCGCTACTACCTAGCAACCCCAGCGAAGCCCAGCCCATCACCTAGCAACCCAAGCAGAGCTCCAGCACCTTTGGTCAGCTGGTTTTACAACTGTATGTGCTTTACAATGGCTGCTGGAAAAGATGAGTGTTCTGTTGTTGACTTACCATCCAGAAATCACTTGCTGCATTTTTGTTTGTGGTGCAGAAGGCTCTACTATTGCTTTTCAAAGATGTACTGTAGTATAACTACGCATCTGTTTGCAGGCATTTTCATGTGTGAATGTAAGCATACATTTGGGGGCGTAGCCATCAGCAGTTTATTTAGATGTAAAGTGACAAGATGCTCTAAAGCAGCTCAATGGGAGAACTAAAATCTCAGTATCCTAACCCATAGACCACCCTAACCTGTTTACCGAAGCATATTAGGTCACCTTTAAGATTAACACCTCCAGGGTGTTTTCACACCTGATGGTCTGGTAGACTTGACTTGATTGGAAACCAAAATTGCAACTTTTGTTACATTTTCAGCTGCTTCAGTTCACTTTCACACTGCACTGTCATGGGAACCAAACCCTTTGAGAAACCATTTTCCCTCCTCGCCTGTGGTGGCGCTTTATTCTATGAGCTACTGACAACATGTCTCTGAAATTCTAAGCAAAATTTAATATTTATTTGCAGAAAATGTCAAATGGTCAAATGACAAAAAAGATGCAGGGCTTTCAGACCTCAAATAATGCAAAGAAAACCAGTTAATATTCATTCAGAAACAACAAAACTAATGTTTTTACTCAGGAAGAGTTCAGAAATCAGTATTTGGTGGAATAACCAGGAGGTTTTCAATGGGGTTCAGTGCAGAGGCCTCTTTATTTTTTCCAGTCACCTGAATTTTCCCTTTGAGGGGTTAATGAAGTCTGTTTCTTTTCTAACAACCAAGCTTTAGGATTTCTTCAATCACCTTATAGGAAAGCTGGATCTTCCCCAACATTTTATAAAGTAGTGATAGCTGCGTAACTAAATGATTTCCGTAATTTTCCCTCAATAGATAACGAAGATGCTGGCCGTGGTGGTGATCCTCTTCGCGTTGCTGTGGATGCCTTACAGGACGCTGGTGGTGGTCAACTCCTTCATCGACCCTCCGTACCACGACACCTGGTTCCTCCTCTTCTGCCGGATGTGCATCTACACCAACAGCGCCATCAACCCCATCGTCTACAACCTCATGTCTCAGAAGTTTCGCGTCGCGTTTAAAAAGCTGTGCAGGTGCAGCTGCCATGGCAGGGAGGCCGAGTACAATGTGCCGATTTACTACAGCGTGATGAAGAGCTCGTCCGGTGGGAGCAACGAACCGGTCACAGAGCAGGAGGAGCTCAGCGGTCAAACCTCCAGCAGGTTCAACGAGACGGAGGATGATGCCAGCGCGCTCAGTGCATGAAATGTTGTTCAAACGGTTTCCGGTTATTTCTATGGGTAAAAAGATGTGTGGATATTCTTGATGAATTCTGTAGTGCTTATGTGTGGATTTGTATATTTTGCATTTCTCAGCAGTGTATTTATTTTAATATTCCTGTTTGTACTGTAAATATGAAACACGACAAGCTTCGGTGTTTGTAAAGTCACACAGTAAAAATTAACAGCAATATTTATGTTTATCTGGCCTGTCTTAGAGAAAGAATTTAAATTTTTCAAAGTCATGTTTTCACCATGTTTTGCATAAATTTATAAATATCAGAGCAGAGTTCCAGACTAAATATTTAATGCACAAGCTAAATATTTAGTTTGCAAATTAAATATTTGGCCTTCAAATTAAATATTTAGTTGGGACTCTAAGTATATGGTTTACATATTTTTAAACTTCTGAACTAAATATTTAAGTCTGAGCTTAATGAGGGGTTTTAGGAAATATGACACAGCCACTTTCATCCTAGAGTTTTAATTGTTGACATAAACTTCCATTTGAATCATTCTGATCCCTTCTTTGGAGAATAAATCATTAAAAAAGCCCCTGACTTGCTAAATTTGCAGAGTCGCGTTGCTGCTGGTAGTTTTCTTGCTAATTAACAGCTAAAGTATCATTATATTCAACCCAACAGTTAAAAAGTTACATTTTCTGACAGCCTTATTCAAAGTTTTTTAAAACAAATTACAGCTTTTTTATTTCACATCAAGTCCCATTTACTATCACCAAATTATAATCCTCTGTAAGTGAGTTTAGGAATACTTTAAGAACTTTCAAGATTATAGCAACTCTTTATTAACAACATTATGATTAATAAGACCCACGGCTTCAGCTCTACAAAATGAATACACAGCAAAACGGATGTGAGAGTGCTCCAATTGGCTTATTTTGATAAATGAGGCCACAACGAGAGCCTGAGTCTGAGGGGAATTGGATTTTGGCACCAGACAGGCTTATTAATTAGCAGATCGAACATGTTGCCTGTTTCAAAGTTTTTAAGTTACGTGTATTAGTTTTTCAATGTTTATCATTGGTTATGTGGTTTAGTTTCTCCAATATATATATTTTCTCTGTTGGCTTTTAGCTCCCAGATTGTCTTGATTAATGACATTTAAAAAATGCATTTTCTATATTTTTGATCATTTGGCTTGTTTGGCCATATTCGATTTAAATCAATATTTTTTTTTATTTTTATTTTTTTGCCTTATTTTAAATCAGTTGGTTAGTTATTGTTTCTCTAGGTTATGTCATGTTTGTTTATCTAGTTATTCTTCATCTCTTAGTTTTAAGTTCTGCCTGTTCCCCAGTTTTGCTCCTCTGTGCCATTTCTCTCTCTCTCTCCCTCAGCCTGCCTTCTGCTCTCTCCCCACAGCTGCACCCTGTTTTCTAGTTAGCATTCATCCCATGTCTAGCAATCAATTTAACTCCCTTACTGGATTCTCCTGTTGGTTCATGTTGCTCCTTGTTTCATGGTTTGTTGATCATCCTGTTTGCCTTCTCGCATTTTTGTAAATTCTGCATTTGCTTCTCAATTCTTACTTAAGATGTGCAATGCCTCAGAAAGCGTCTGCATCCGTGTCCAAATTCAGCCAACATCAAATCTTGATGATTCTTTAGTTAAATCCTCCATAGGCCTGAACGATTAATCCGATTAATTGTGATTAAATAATTGTCAACTAATTCAGTAATTGATCAAATGTTAATTGGAGTATGCAGACTTTTAAAAAATGGCCGATTGTTGAAATGAAAGAACATTCTTAGGTAAGTAAATAAGCAAACATGTACAAAAAATGCATACATTTTGTATTTAAGGTTAAAATGATTGAATTATTAAAACATCTAAAACTCCTCAAATGGCAGCTTTAACTCCACCTGTAAAAAATCTCGTATTAAACACCTTTTGCTCTCAATTACTAAGCGATTAATTGAAAATTGATCAACAGATCAGCCCTATACACTTTATTGATAATACAGTAAGTCAAGCAGAAAGGCTTGAGCGTTTCACAATTTGATGTTGGAAGTATTTGTTTTTGCTGCAGACGTGTCTTATTCTACAAACGGTCAAGCATACCATATGTTGTTGCATTTTATGAAATAACATTTTCACTTGTCTACTTGCAATGACATGACTGAATTTGGACTACAAAATTGCTGTAAGAGGAAAAAAAAGTCACAAAACTGATTAACTGGAATTCGTGATTTTGTTCAGCAGCTCCAGAGTAAATGCAGTGAGGTCATAGAAAAGAAGACGTCATAGGCAAAAAACTGAAAATATAAAGACATACGGGGAGAGAATAAATAAAAAAATAAACTCCTAGACATTCAAAGTACAGAAAAACATATTTAAAGACTAAAAAAAGTGAATTTTGCATGATATTCCCCCTTTAATCCAATGCATCCCTTTTAAAACTCCTTATAGTTTTAAAATCTAATTTTACAAGTAACATATTTGCTGACAGTTATATTTAGAAACTGTGAGGCTGAAATAATTAGCATTAGAAGAAGACAGGATGTCAGCAGAAAATGCTGCATAACTGGATCTCTTTTGAAAGCAGACGACACAATGAGTCGTTCCTACGCCAGAATGAATAATTTATTCACAGCATCTGTCAAGAGCTCTCGTCATTAACACAAATATTCAAAGAGCAACTAGAGTTGATTGTTGCACAGCAGTAAAGAGGGTCGTCTTTGTTTTTTATCCATTTATCCTGTGGGGTACAAACCGACCAGGTTCAGATCTGGAAGCTCCTTCAGTAAAAGGACAAAATGCAGATCAGATCTTATTACAACATAAGTTTCTAAGAAATCAGACACATTATTCCTGTAAAATATTTAAGAACTCGCTTTGTTTTGTGTATTTAGTGTACACAAATATTTGTTAGCTTTCATTTTATAATCTTGTAAAAAAAAATTTAGACTTGTAAAAATGGCTCCTTTTCTGCTGCTGAAAACTTAAATTTCATCATCATCTGGAGGTTTCTAGGGTTGGGGTCAAATGTCACTGGCTTTTGGCCCGTTTATAATTTAATCCAGTGGAAATGAACATGATGCCGCCACCACCGTGTTTCATTGCGTCGATTTGTGCCAAATGTTCATTTAAAATTAAAGACCCAAAGTTTAGGTTTAGTTTAATCAGACCATCATTGATTCGGCCACCAAATTCAAAGAGATTTTATGGAAGCTGGATGGTATTATTTTGGAAATGTCATATTTTCCGGACTATATAGCGCACCTCAATATAAGCCGCATCTACAAAGTTGTTTTTTTTAAATTAAAAAAAAAAAAAAAAAAAAAAAAAAAGGAAAAAAGAAAAAAAAAAAGCCCCCCGGGGGAAAAACCTGATATTTCCCCCCCCCCCCCGTTTTTT